TACATGCATGCATACTGGCGGAAGAGAACAAACCAGCTTCCAGGTATAGACGAAATTAGGAAAAGACTATTGAGGTGAACAAGTCATACATTGTAGAAATCATCAATCTGCATCACGAAACATGTGCCAATATGGAATCCTGAATAGGAAAGGAAAAGTGGAATATCAAGGAATACATTGTTCCGGAAATTGAAAGCGTATATGAAAAAAATGAATAGCAACTTTAAAGGATTACCTATGAGAGAGAGTGTGTGTGTTCAGTGAAGAATATTGGTGGGTGGCTTACGCTCCTCCATGCGTAGTAACAAGCGTAGTAAGTAAATATTTATGCATGTACATAAAATGATCAAGAATAAATTCTCCTAAAATATGTTTTAAGAATTGCTGGAATCAATTTGAAAATATCAGACAATATTCTTAACATGATGACAAAGATGATCTATTTTATAAAATGACTGAATAGGTTTTTGATGAAAACGACAATTTGGTATCACAAAACATAATAAAAAAACCGCACAAGTAGTCGAAATAAAGCTAACAGAGCTCTAATTAACTAAATAAAAAGAAACTACAGTGAATCCGGACAGAAAAATGACCTTAAATGGTTTAAATACGTTAGAAGGGGGCAACGACCTCGTGACTTCCGAAGGAATTCGACTTTCATCATGAGGCATCATGATTCTTCCTTCAACTCCCAGGGCAGAGTTTAAATGGTTTGAATTATTTTTTCTGCTTAGCGTTTTTTTAGCTAGTTAGTTTTCTACAGGATGGGGTCGCTAACCTCATTCCCAACCCTCCTCCTTTTTCCAGGCAGTAGCCCCCGGAGAGGCTACAGGTGGAGTTTTAAATGCTTTAATAAAAGTCAAAAAATTTGAGCGAGAAGATTTGATTAATGTTGCAACGAGATATTGACAACTAGTTCATTGTGGATGTAAAACTTGAATCTGAACTACCTGACTGCAACTACTTTATTCATGTAAATTATTCGTCGGGCTATAAAACATGTTCGGTAAGTTAAAGGTGTTTTTTTATTTAATTAGTCAGTGACACACAATATCTTTTCTTCTTGTCACACACTTCATGGAATTCCTTTTGAGAATGTGGGTAACTAACTTGTGTATTTAGAAGTCCGCATAGTAGTCAATAAATTCAGTTGTAAATTATGATATGTATGACTTTGTTAACTGTTACATCGAGAAATGGAAGTTTATTTTTTATCGTTCATTGATTGATACCTCTGGAAAGTCCTACCTAGATGAAGATTAAGCTTTCTTCCGTAATCTGTGGCTTTCTACTGTTCTCGTCATGAAAATAGTATTTTATATTATTACGGAGTGAAATATAAACACTGAAAATGAATGTGTATAAATCACGCACGTTTGTTCCCCATTCTGACGTAGAGAAATTCGGTGTGATGATCCATTTCTTTGGAAAAAAATAAAAGGCAAACTTTAACCTTGATTTCAATACCAGATTCTGCTCCTAAGTAATTTAGAATACCTACAATTTATTGTGGAAGATTAATTGTCAAAGTGGTTAACGAAATGTATAAATCACCACTTATTTAAACTTTTATCTAAATGATATACCATGCACCCTGCATAATAACAGTTTTATATACGACTCTAAAACTATAGCAGACCTTTTCAGTGGTATTTTTGCAAATGGCAAAGAATCCATAAATGACGCCGTTTCAAGAGTTATATGTGTGACTAGTAACTCAATAAAATCTATCTCCTTCACATGCTTGAAAATTAGAAAGGCTTTAAATACCCTTAAGGTTTCGAGAGGTCACGGAGCAGTATGGTGGTCCAGATATTCCACTTCTTATCCTTAATCTGTTTACTCTCTCTATGGAATCAGGTCCTTACCCTTACTGTTGGAAAACTGCGTACATCATAACACGTCACAAATCTGGAGATAAGACTGGCATGAACAATTATCGGCTGATAAATATTACTCCAGTTATCTCTAAGATTATGAAAAAAATTATTAGCGACCAATTATTCAACTATTTGCTGACTGAAAAATTTATCAATAATACACAACATGTGTTTCTTAAAGATCGTTCTTGTATGACATGTCACTTTGACTTCTTTAATTTAGTTTATTCTCTACGTAGCCAAGGATATCTAGTATTATAGCTATACCTGGACATTTCTAAAGCCTTCGACATGGTCAACCACAAACTTCTCATAGGTAAACTCGCATCTTATGGGGTCCAAAACCCTTTACTTGCTTGGTTTGATTCCTTCCTCAGCAACCGACATCGAAAAGTTAAAATTAACTCCTCATTATCGAACGCTATCCCTGTTAGGAGTTATGTAATACAAGGTAGTGTCTTAGGCCCTTTGCACTTTTTAGTTTTTATCAATGATATTTGTTAGTGTTTTTGTGTGGGTAAGCGCCTTCTGTATGAAGATGATCTTAAAGTAGTGTATTCATTTTTTCCACGTGAGCTGAACAATATTTAAAATTGAATCAGCATGGAGCATAACAAGGTAGCACAGTGGTGCTCAAAATGGCAGATGGGGCTTAATACAGCTAAATGTGGATGGATATGCCTCGGTGACACATCATTCAACTTAGATCTTACCATAAATGGTTAAGTGTTATCAAGATTACATGCAGTAGTAGACGTTGGACCTAGGTACTCCTATGACTTTTCGTTTGCCGAACAGATATTGAAACAGACTTCCAAGTCTCAATGCCTTATAGGTTGCATAACTCAGAACATTTATAACAACGAATCCCGTATTTTAATGTACAAAGTTTGTGTTTGACCAATCCTCGAACACTGAGCGTTTATTCCTAGTAGTGCGCGCATAAAGGATAAATTAAGGATGCACTCAGTACAGAGACGATTTACACTTCGTATCCTCGGAACTGATTGTACCTTGACTTATACATCTAAGTGTAATAAACTTGGGCTCGACCCTTCATGGGATAGAAGACTCAAACTAAATATTTTCTTCTTCAAAGTAATTAACAAGTTATCCTTTACATCCAACGAAGCGATTCAATATGCAGAAACTTCACATTATGACATTCGTAACAGCTTGTTACTAGCGAAACAAACATATTCTAAATCATCTCTCTATATGAATTACTTTACCTGTAAATTTTCTAGACTCTGGAATAATCTACCACAAACTATCCATACGATAATGTTTAACCACTTACCTGCTGTCACTTTATATTAGTACTATCCCTAGCGACCTTAACTTATTTTAATAATATCTAACATGAACAGTAGTAAACCTGACAGACATGTTTTGGCAATCATTGTTTCTTTATTCCGTACTCTCTGTTTTCATTTTACTTTCTCTAGTTGTAGATGATCATCAATAATTCGTCCTGGCACTGGAAATAACCTTAAAGAACACAGTTCATAAACCATCGGGTTATCCTATCGAGAAAAAATTAAAAGTTCCCTGCTGATGCATTGGATTGCCGTGATACATGTCATAAATAAATTACCTAACAATTACTGAACAAGCAAACTTAAAACAATCTTATATCACATGTTTTCTCTCTACATTAAATGTTGCTATTTATATCAAATTGATCATGTCTGTAAACTCGCGTTAATTCTGTAAATATTATTTTCAGAATATATTATTATTATTAAAACAACACAAATACAGCTTCTGTTGAAAAGCAAAACACAGTGAAGGTAAAAGAAAAATCAGAAAACTGTAATGAGATAAAATGTTACCATCTCAAATGGCATCAAAAGGACTAACAAAATATACAAGTAAAGAAATCAATATGAACAAGTTGCGAATGTATGCATGGAGGGTTTTTCACACACAAAACCTTCAAGATGGATTTTACACTGGCCCGCAAAATCCCTCCATATTACACAAACAAATTCGATGCCTTTGGTCATGGTTCATTCTTTCGCATATTCCACACTAGAGGAACGATTGGGATTTATAGCAGTACGTCTACGTCCATCGAACAACAGAGTTTGGAAATCTGATTGCTCTTTAAGACTGAGGATTTTGTTTCCCAAATCAGCACGAAGTAGTGCCTTGGCTTTAAATTCTCGTTTCGTTTCTTCGAAACGTTTTCTAAAACATGTTATTCATTAAGGGGCCTACGCGATCTTTGTTGTTCTCTTAATACTTAAGGTCTGAACTACCTCTGACGCCTGGTCCTCCTTCTCAAACAGTCTGACCTTACCAATGTTACATCAGAACTATTATCAGAAAAAGCATAACCCACAATTTAATCATTTCCCGATCTCAACTGTACAAAGATCATTCCTAAACACACGTGACCATTTGTTGACCTTTTAAATCCACAGCAGTTTTCCGTAACAGGTTTATCCTTTGAGCTGCTGGCTGTCGAATCATTGTGCAACAGTGAGTGATGTTTCTTCGTACACCTGTCAACGGTACAGCGCTTCGGCAGTCTACATTCATCAACCTTATGTCCTTCCCTAAGACATACAAAGCAGATACCCTTGTCCTTTACATGAGACCATCATTCTTTCACTGTAAGCGCTAAAAACCATGGGCATTTCTAAACTACGTGGTCGTAAGAACACATACTCCATTTATTCACTTGTTTACTTGTATCTTCCCACCGTCATTTTGGACTGCAATTGATCAGTCTCTTATTGGTATGTGTGCATCCTATGCGAACTGCCTCGATATTGTTATTTAGAAATACTCGGAGAATATCTACCCGTTCGTGGCATGAAGTTAATTAATTAGCGCTAATCACCGTTGACTATTACAATGTCAAACAAACTAAATAACTCCTAGTGATCTGTTGTGTTACGTATGAGAAGTTCAGCTTCATGACTGATTAAGCTAGAGTTCAGTGACATTTCACTGTACCTACATGTGTTTTACATTTTAAAGTTTATCTAGATGATAACTTTTGAAGTAGAACTGCTCAGGACCGTCCAATTCGCAATCCAGTCGTCACAAATAAATCATTATTCGATTCAAAGAGAGAGAACTGACCATACTTGAAGGCATTGTGTTGTTATTTCAAGTCATATATGAAACGAGGTGTACAGAAAATTTTAATTAGCACAAACACCACTATTGTTTTACAGTGATGCATACAGACAGTTACACTATATCTTAATATTGCAGCTGACCAAATATGTCGTAACCAAAATAGTGTTCATGTTCAAGCTAATCATCTCCAATGCCATCAGAAAGAGCCTCAGAAGCCGCGATCGAACAATCTCAAAGTGTAATTCTGTTCTACGTATTAGTTGGTCAAAGACTGGACGTTTCCTATGAAGAAATAGATGAAAGTTTTAAAAGAAAACTGGACTTTCACATAGTTTTCTTTTGAAGAGAAAAACACTGGCCAGCCGATCTACTGTCGTAATTACAGAGGATTTCAGTAGATCGTTTCCAAGTCGAATGTTCACTATTGAATGGATTTATGATTGACCCGCGCATTCAACACTTCTACTGGAGCCTTACATCGATGTTGTGTATATTCACTTTGAAGTGTCTTTCAAAACTTTTCGTTCCAATTGGAATTGAAGTTATAAAGATAGTTGTTTATGCTTATGAGTACCTTACATGGCCACTGTACTACTTATTCAGCAAAACATTGAGGTATATGCCTCTGCCCAACTCTCCTGTTGACAGCGACTGGACGTATAATGAAGAAGAAAGTCGAACTTTGGCACTTCCCGTACGTGAGGGTGATCCTGGTTCGCCATGGAGAGCAGTTGAGGCCCTCGATGGTCTGACAAGTTCACTTCCTGGATGTAAAGATTTGGTTGATGTTTGGCTCCGCACTGTCAAGCTGTGGCCTGATTTGCCTGCGTTTGGAACCAGAGCCGTTTTACGCACGGACTACAGAGTGAGTTTTCTACTGGACATTTTGGCTGCACTTTAAGTCGTTGCTGCAAATAAAGCCAATATGAGTGTTGGTTCACGTAGTGGACGGTTTTCTTTGTTCACATGATTATCTTTGATCGGTTATTAAATCAAAGACGTAACTGTGATAAAAACTTCTTTGATTCCTGCTGAAATAAATTTTGAATTGATGGAAGACGGATTGTACTAATAATGTCAGCACCAATAATAAGAATAGCAAGTGTCATCAGAACGAACGACATAATTGCGTAACTTGTAACTCGACAAACTACTTCGTTATCCACTAAATTTGATTCCGATGAAAGTATGATCTATTAATTCCGAGTAACATTTACAATTGCCGAAAATAGTCCGAATGAGTTACTGAAGCATGGACACTTTCACTGTGTCCCCATGGATTTTAAGTTCCAACACTATTCGATAATTTTTTTTAACTATTATTTCATTCTCTTTAGGACTCTATCATTCATCTCTAGTTTATTAATCGCTAGTACTATAACTCAATTCTTTCCCATTCAAGTTTTACCTTCATTTTACTGTGTTGAAATTGTGTAGGAATCAGACTACTAGCCTGATGATAATGTTACCCGTGAAACTTTCCAACGACTGAGAACAATCACTGAGAACCAGTCACTCATCAATGTACAGGTCCCCACCAATCGCACCTCACCAAACTTTATATGTCCTGTGAAATTGAACAGCAACAAAATCTTCACTGTTTTAGTTAAAATCCACATTATTCTTACCGTTTCAAGCTAGTTTTTTTTTCCTGACCGATTAGATTGTTTTTGAGATGCTCCCACATTCAGTGAAGTTAGAGTTTGCATTTGTTGTCTAATATCTTGATGTGGCACTTCTCAAGTACGTGCCACAAATGTTTGTCTGTTTATTTATTTTGCTTGTTTGAATACTAGATGTTTTACGTGTACTTTAACTTCCAGTCATCCATAGTTGTATAAATGAAACAAAACACCTGGTACCTGCTAGGATTGAACATTCTATCTAATGGTGATGTCGCAAAGTTGCATTGTTGCGGAACTATGATTTTGTTCCCATATTAGTGCAAACCAAGCTATTCATATGGTGTTCAGTAAATATGGATCCCTTATGTGCTTCCGTGCCGAATAATTCTCATTTCTAAGTCTTAGTGTGTTTTTGTTTTTTTAGTGAGTATAATGGTAAGTAGATACTTCCCCATAAAAAGTATTTCATATGTTGTGTTTGTTATGTATCCTAATTTCGTATGATTTTGTCCCGCACTAGCCGAGTCCCGACGGAAGACTAATGATTGAGCTCACTTTGGGTGAGTACTCTTGGGAGACATTTTGGGACGCTGAACGTCGAGTATCCCATCTAGCAGCTGGCTTGTATTCAATGTTGGGTTCCATTAAGGAACATAATCAGCCCATTGCATTATTCAGTGAAACAAGAGCTGAGTGGATGTTTGCTGCTCAAGCTTGCTTTCGTCTCAACCGACCTGTCGCTACTCTGTACGCTACTCTCGGTGATGATGCATTGGTACATGGATTTAATGAAACTGAAGTTAGTAAATCGCTACACTTATCAAATGCATTTTTCACTACTTGTACTCATTTTACTAGTTTATTGGCGTGTCTATGTTTACATATTTCTGAGTTCACTTAATATTTTTATCCACAATTTTAAAAGTTAGTGTACATTTACTATCAGATCCAACTACAGAGTATTCGCTTTGGAATGACGTAAATTAAGTCGTTCAATCCACTAACCGGATTGAACTTCAATGGTTTGTGTTGAATACTAGCTCAAGAAATGCCAGGTTTATCTTGTGAATGTAGCTTATGACCATTTGACGGAGTCCGATAATGAGGTGTCACTTAGTTAACTACAATACGTTACTAGTTCAAGGTGAGATTAACTACTATTTGATCGAAGTTGCTTTAGGCTAGATATAAGCTGGTAATAGCCAAGCTTAGTTAATAGTAATATAAGCAATAACTGCTAAAAATCACTTACATCTTTATTTATTAGTTTTGGCTTCCAGCGTCAGGTTCTTGTGAATATATTCTGTAGGTTTCGATGAAAGTAATCAATAAATATGACCAACCATAGCTCTGGCTAGAAAAATCAACGGTTAAATAGTTATTAATCGCTGGTGGCGGCGATCAACACAGTTTGATTGTAATAACTAATAAATCCAGTCAGTCAGTCAGCTACAACGTAGGACCAGGCACATATATGCATCGGTCCAAGTTGCCATACCTCGTTAGCACAACAAGATGAACACTGGATTCATAGAAGTAATTAATTTAGTGGTGGTAGTATATAAAAAAAGGTTGTATATAAGGATATAGTACAGAAAGGAAGAGAGATATGAAGCAATTTTGATCTCAAGGTTTAAGGGAAGATTAAGAGTGTATACACCTACGCCATTGTGATCGATTCTGAGCCATGTCACACAGAGTCACCAATCATTGATTACAATAGTCACGCGGACCCCAATCAGGTAGTCTGCATCTGCCAACATGGCTCAGGCTAGAAGTTAGTGACTTCAAACACTGATGCCATGTTTCGGTTTGGCCGCCCCTAACTCTCTTCCAACCATCCCCTACACTAGTCAGCATTGTGCGTCGGGGTAATCGGTGTTCAGGCATACGTAACACATGGCCCAACCATCTCAGTCGATTAAGATTCATCACCTCATCAACTGATTTACCATCGTTCCCTAATACCCTGTGTCTAACCTCACTATTACTTACCCGGTTATCCCAGCAGATGCGAGCAATATTTCTAAGGCATCTGTGGTCAAATATTAGTAACCTACGAGTATCTTCTACTCTTGTTGGCCATGTTTCACAGTCGTAAAGTCAAATAGAGAGAACTGCTGCGCAGTATACTCGTCCCTTAATTGATAGACGGATATCTCGTTTTCGCCATAGGTGACGTAAGTTGGCAAAAGCTAGACGAGCTTTTTGAATCCGTGCTGAGTTTTCGTCAGACACCAACCCATTAGGGCTGATCAGACTTCCAAGATAAGTGAAGTTGTCGACGCGTTCGACTACTTCACTTCCTATCCTTAGTTCAGGTGTTGATGCAGGCCAGTCCTGGAGTAACAATTTACATTTGGATGGGGAGAAACGCATCCCAAACATCCTGGCATTATTACTGAGTTCCAACAGAAGACTCTGCATTTTGCCAGCGTCTTCACCAAACAGGACTATGTCATCTGCGTATTCTAAGTCGATAAGTGAACCTCCTGGCAGGAGATCAATTCCTGTAAATTCAGTCGACGAGAGTGTTATTTCGAGCAACAGGTTTATAATGAAGTTAAACAAAAATGGGGATAGTGAACAGCCTTGACGGACACCACTTGAAGTTGTAAAATCATTTGACAGTTCACCATAAGCTCTCACTCGACTAATAGTGTTCGAGTAAAGAGCCTTCACAAGGTTTATGTACTTCTCAGGTACACCATTCAATGACAAGCACTGCCACAGAACCTCTCGGTCTACAGAGTCAAATGCTGCTTTCAAGTCAAGAAGAACTATCATTGTCGGACGCCGATAAGCATGTCTGTGTTCTAAAACTTGACGAATGGTGAATATGTGGTCGGTGCAGCCACGACCAGGTCTGAAGCCAGTCTGATTTTCTCGTGTTTGCATTTCACGAGTCTTAGTTAGGCGCCTGATAATTATTGAGGCTAGTATTTTAGATACTATGTTAGTCAGACTAATCCCTCTATGGTTATCGCAGGTTGATTTTGACCCCATTTTATATCTTTTCAATTAGTTTTTCATCATGGCTCTACACTAATATATATATGATTTGCAATAATTAAATAACACTCATGGAGTAGATACGTTACGTAATGAGTATATAATGACATCGATTATAAACTAACATTAATTGGAAGAGAAGGATTAATACTAATCAAAGTTATTATTCGAAAATCAAGCTGTTGCTACGTTGCATAATATTTTATTTTTATTTATTTATTTAAACACATAAATATTGGTACAAGGAAGCACCAGATATATATGCGCCTCACAAATCATTCGATTTGTGTGAGGGCTGTGATACTGCCCAGGTGCCCAAACTGAAGCAGGTGGTTTTCTTAGGGGACCTCACCCGAAGCCTTTGACCTGAATGTCTGATCCACAAGGCAGTGGAGCATCGTGAGGAGATGCAATCCCATGGTAGCCGATGATCAACGGTTGATTCGTACGCCATTTGTTCCCTCAGGATGCTGGAGCCAGTCCATGTGCAGCATTGGTTTGGAATCAAGGTTTTCCAACTCCCCTAGGTGAACTTTCCGTGTCCACCAACCCGTTTAAAGCGCCAGACATTCGCTTTTCGTCCTCTCACTTTCGTAAACAACAGTGATGGCACGAGAAAGCAGTGAGTAGGACTTCCCTGACAGAGGTTATATATTCGCTGGCTATATGAGAGCATTTCGAGAGGGAGTGGTGACTCTCCCCACTCTCGGCCGTACCAAGGCTTTTGGGGGCTTGCATAATATATAAAAATGAGAAGAAAGAACTAACAAAATATTTTGATGAATGGTCAGTAATATAGTAGTTATGTAAGAATCAAGAGACGAATGAAGAGAATAAGTAAAATACAAAATACAAAAAATGGAAGGAATAAGATAACTGTTTACCGAAATTATGCTACAAACTCCGCTAGAATGATTTGCTCTGATGACATTATTTTAGATGAATTGGCTAATATTCGAAACTTGCTTAGTAGGAATGGGTATCCAATGAAATTCATCGACAAACACATGACGGAGACGAAAAGAAGGACAAAGGTACCTACTGTTCCGAAGAAGGTACTGTTCCTAAAGTTACAATTCTTAAATGATGCTACTGAAGAAATCTTGACACAGAGGTTAAGAAGGGCAGTACAGAAAACATTTAATGCAGCCCGACTTAGTACCGTCTTCTACAACTGCCCCACAATAAGAACTGTTAATAAAGACAGATTGCCTGAATTCACCACATCTATGTGTATTTACCAATTCAACTGCTCCTGTTTAGCCAGTTATATAGGGCATACAATTCGACAAGTTCGTCAACGAATAACAGAATACCATCCGTCATGGTTAACTAAAGGACAGGTAAAGGGGATTAAGAGTTCTATTCTCGCTCACTTGGTGGACACAGGTCATCATGTTGAACTGAATAAAGCTTTTAAGATTATCTACCATATTCCGTCAAATTTGCCATATGGTTTACGAGCTCGTCTATTGCACATAGCTGAAGCCATCGCAATTCATATCCACAAACCGAACCTTTGTATCCAAAAGAAGTTTGTACAACCACTCTCGCTACCTTGGCCATCGGTATAGCGGAGTTTGTAGCATAATTTCGGTAAACAGGTATCTTATTCCTTCCATTTTTTGTGTTTTGTATTTTACTTATTCTCTTCATTCGTCTCTTGATTCTTACATAACTACTATATTACTGACCATTCATCAAAATATTTTGTTAGTTCTTTCTTCTCATTTTTATATATTATGCAACGTAGCAACAGCTTGATTTTCGAATAATAACTTTGATTAGTATTAATCCTTCTCTTCCAATTAATGTTAGTTTATAATCGATGTCATTATATACTCATTACGTAACGTATCTACTCCATGAGTGTTATTTAATTATTGCAAATCATATATATATATTAGTGTAGATCCATGATGAAAAACTAATTGAAAAGAAATTTCTTCGCTCGATTCATTCCTTTTTAATTAACAAATGTCAAAATGGGAATTTTCCCTTTTTATATATTGGGACAATCAGTGATTGTGACCAGTCGGATGGGATTACATCCGTCTCCCAGATTTTAGCCAGAATATTAGTCAACCTAATCACTAAAATTGGACCACCATATTTAAAGACCTCTGGAGCCAATCCATCAGGACCAGCTGCTCTTCCTCGTTTCAGATTACCTATACCCTTTTGAACTTCAAGTAGGGTCGTGGGGCCTACTTCAATGTTCCATTCAGGTTTTCTGGGAATAGTGGGTAGTTGTGCAGTAGCTGAAGGCCAGCTAAACTGCTCCTTAAAGTGTTCCGCCCATCGTTCTAAACGTTTGGGTTGAGAGCAGATAAGGGTTCCATCTTTTTCGGAGATTGTCTCACTTACACTTGACTTCTTAATTCCGGTTTTTTTATTAGTCTGAATAGTTGCCTGGTGTTGCCTACAGCCGCTGCCTTTTCCATCTCTTTTGCTTTCGTTGCCCACCACTGCTCACAATCGTTCCTTAGACTTTTAGTTTACCTAGATCTAATTTTTTTAAGCTCTTCGTCGTGTTCAGAGCCTGGTGGGATGAGTTTACGCGAATCCATCAGTGAAATAGACTTAGAGGAAATCCAATGGTTTTTTGGAGCCCTATGGTTTAAATGACTAGTAGATGTAACTGCTGTTTCCACAGCTATTCGTATGTCTTTCCAAGCAGCATCTGTGTCAGTCTTGTTTACAGAACTGCCTAGATGTAAACTCAGTTGTTTATGGAATTCGCATTTGGCTTTCTCGTCCTCCAGTTCAATCCTAATGGGTCTTCTTAGTGTACTTTCCTTGCGTCCATTGAGGCTCAGACAAATGCGCGCTCGTATTAAAGCGTGATCAGAGTCTAAAAAAGTATTCCAATACGAGCGACAATCTTCTATTGAGCCTCTCCAACGATGACTGATGACAATATGGTCTATTTGAGTCGACGAAAAGGCAACAACGTGTGTCCCTATCCTTCCGAGTTTTTACGGAGCCATTTAGCCGGACAACACACAGGCGACTGTTAACGGGGATCCATTCTAGTAGTGCCTGTTCTGCCCTTGTACTTAGTGCTATACCTACACCCGCAAGTCCGCGAGAACTAGCCAACGAGTCGACAGATACACGGAGGGTGTATTTTGTTGGCTGTCCATTTGCGCGAGGTGAGGTCAAGTGAATCACCACACTGGGATCCTGTATGTGTGTTTCGGAGACACAGAATACATCAATGGTACGAGATTCTAGGGTTTTAGCTAAGGAGGCCTGTTGACCGATTTGGCATAGGGTACGTACGTTGAAGGCTCCAATGTGTAGTTTGGAGCGAGGTTTTAGTAGACCTGGGACAGCGTTTCGCCCACTAGAATGGTTGGCCATGGTGACACTTGAGGAGGAAACCGAGAGAATTAGTTTAGTGTTGAAAGTCAAGGTAGAAGGAATAGTAGGAATTGAAGGAGATTGATTATGAATACAGTGGTCTTGAGTGCTGTTAGAGGTATGAGGACAGTTATCACTTCCCGGTTTCCCACACCGTGGAAAGGTTCTTCTAGAGTTACCTGAAAAGGAAATTGGGTTAGAAGTGGTCTTAATGACCTGAGAGCGTAACCGCAGTGCCCAAGGGACAACTGCTTGAGGTCGGTCACACACAACGTTTTTGTGGGTAGTTTTTGTGTTAGTTCCGTTCTTCAAAAAAAAACCTTACCGCCGGAGACGGAAATCCGTGGGATAAGGCTGGTGTGCATTTTTAGGGTCGACCTTTTCTAACCCTACCCCTCCTTGTGGGAAGGCAGCATCGCTGTCATGCTGGTTGTCTGAAGGAAACACCTTACTGTTGTCACACCTCTGTACAGTCAAAAGTACGTCTTCGGACCTTGGGTTTGCTGCTTTAGTCTCACCGCTCTTCAACCGACCTGTCTGGCATGGTAGGACCTCGAGCATAGCTCGATTGCTTCATCACGATAGGCAAGCCCGACCACCACGTCAAGGTAGGAGCAACGGTCGAGACTAATAAATCCAGGATGTTTTTATTAGTTGAGTGTTGACTACTCAGTCACTATCTTACCGTCCATGTAATTGTCAGGGGAGGGAGGGAATTTGAATTTTGATAATATAACTACGAAATTCTTAATCAGTACGTTATTCCCTATAAATGTTATTTTCGTGTCTAATATCTTTTACACATTCAGAGGCCCATTACTATGGAGCTATTTCTTCAGTACCCTTTATCTTGATCTTCGGGCTTTAATCACATACATTAAAATATCTAGTTTAATGCAGCACATTATCCGGTGCATCGTTGTTTCAAATGTTTCGTCAAGCTATAAATCCGAAACATTTGTTGATTATAAAGAGGAATAACAAAGAATTCTAAATGAAACGAGGGAATAGCATGGTACAAGATGTCTTTCGTCATAGTTACTATATGACAAGTCATTGAAGTTACGTGAGAATTTTCGTTAGCAGGCGAGCATTATCGTGGTGGGGGTGTTGTTTACAAAACTGAGAGGACGAAAAGCGAATGTCCGGCTCTTTAACCAGGCCGGTTGACACAATGAGTCTACTTAGAGAAATCGAGAAACCGTGATTGCAAACCAATGATGCACATGGGCTTCAGTACCTTGAGGGAACAATTGGCGTATAGACCAACTGTTCGTTACCGGTTACCGTAGGACTGCATCTCCTGACGATGCCCCACTGCCTTGTGTGTCAGACCTTTAGGTCAAAGACTCGGGGTGTGGCCCCCTAAGAAAACCACCTGCTTCGATGTGGGCACCCGGGAAGTATCATAGCCCTCACACAATTAGAATGAAATGACAATCTTTTATGTGGGGCATACTAATCTGGTGCCCCCTTGTACCAATATTTATGTGTTCAAATAAAAAAATGATAATGTTCGTTAGCAATGTAAGCTGTTTTGATGGTATCTTGATCTGATCAGTTTGTTACTTTCTCATCCACCAATTTATTTATTTAAACACATAAATATTGGTAAAAGGGGGCATCAGATTAATATGCCCCACATAAAAGATTGTCATTTCATTCTAATTGTGTGAGGGCTATGATACTTCCCGGGTGCCCACATCGAAGCAGGTGGTTTTCTTAGGGGGCCACACCCCGAGTCTTTGACCTAAAGGTCTGACACACAAGGCAGTGGGGCATCGTCAGGAGATGTAGTCCGAGAGATGGTGCAACACAGTGGCTAGAGACGTTATCAAATATGGCTCAGAATAGAAGCCAGTGGCGATCCTGCTGTAACCTTCTTTTACTTTCTACATAAAGAGTGGTTCTAACTTTCTTAACTGAAAGCGTCTTCTGGTTGTACATTTTATTCCGCCTTATATTTTCATCCCTTCTCTTAGTACTTTCATTATTTTGTGTGGCGCATATGTATCTGGTGCCCTTTTGTACCAATATATATGTGTTTAAATAAATAAATAATAATAAAAGCCGGTGACCAACGATTGATTCATACACTATTTGTTCCCTCAGGATACTAGAGCCCATGTGCACCCACCCATAGTGTGGTGAGGTGCAAGCAGTTTCTGTTCTAATTTATTTTCACTCATTATAAATTGGTGTGTTCTCTTTCTATATGATAATAGTCGAATGGACAAGTTTTCAGGCAACACATGATGGAAGTACGGTGTTAGTAGGATATAGATTGGATTAAGCATGTTTTATGCATGATGGTGTTGCTGCGCGCTGATTGGTTAATTTTAAACCAATCAGCCTGGGCATATTATTGCAGAAAAATCTATAAGCTTCTTATGCATATACTATAAATATATGAACGATATTTAAACTATTGATTGCTGATTGATGTTCACATACCATTGTTATTCTGAATACAATTTCTTTCCTGTTCAACGTGTTCTGATTTGGGGATCTTGTCGAGTGTCATCGTATAAGAATACTAAGCAATAGGAATAGCTGGGTCGTTTATATAGCAAAAAATTGCAATTATGACATACGGTAAACAGGAGAGTCGTTGTTCACGAGATTTATCGAGTGTGTTGCAGGTTTGAAACCCGATACACTACAGCTTTCCAACCTAGTAGTGTCACTAACGTTCACACATAGTGTGGTTGTGTGAATTACTTTAACTAATCTTTACTTGGTAAACGAGTAACCAAATTGTGTCAGCTCTCTGAGGAGGCCAAAAAGGCATTGCTGGAACCATCGTATAAGGTGTTACATTAGCTGCAATTGTCTGATGATGATAATATTTCATCTCCTCAGCTATTTAGTGATTGTCATTACGTTTTTGCCTAGTAACCTGACGATTGTTTTTATTGCTTGTAAGTGGTTCTAATCAGCCATCATTTTTTATTCTTTACTCGTAAAGTGTAACTTCAGTTTATATAAACATGTTTTGTATACTCAATAAAAAGCTTTCTATGTGGACAATTTTAATCTCAGGCTGTGGTCGTGTTCACAAGCGATGAGCTCTTATCAAAAGTAATTAAAATTGTTCAAAGATGTCCTTCAATTCAACGTATTATATATTTCACAAATGGAGTTTTTAATCGAGAACTTTACACAGAAGTTGACAACCTGGCTGTTCCATCTGGAAGTGCTACTGCCAGTGTTGCAGAAGCTCTGACAAAATGTCCGTCAAATTTACATCTACACGATATAATCGAAGTCGAACGTTTGGGAGCTGCAGTAATCATGAAAGATAGAGAAAAACAAACAACGAGTACTTCCACACCAATTACAGGGAATAATAATCACTCATCAAACGGTTATGAAGGTTTATGGATGCCTCCTGCATCAGAACGTGCCAGTCCCTTAGATTTAGCTGTGATCATGTACACAAGTGGATCAACAGGTATGGTTTGAACACTGTTTTTTAGTGATTTCGGTGTTTCCACTTATCCATCGATTTTAATGAACCATTATAACTTTCTTTATAGCTTATTTGTACCTATCGAATTCCCTAGTTTATTATTCTTTGACTATGGATATAAATATATGAACCTTGGGAATGTACCAACAGGTTGTTTGCTTTTATTTTAAAAGTTGAATTGTGTGTAAAAACTTGATTCCCTGTACCTCAGAAGTATTAGTAACAAATGTTACTCTGATATTAATCCTGAAAACTGTGTGTATAAGAACCAATTATCTTGTTATATTCTGTGCATTCATCATGTATATGATAACATTTCATACAGCAAGCTTAGGTAATTACTTTGTTTAGAAAATTATATTTCAGTATTTTGAACAGATAAATCTCCATCACTCAAATCATTAGCCACATTCCAACATATTCAAACGTTACTTAACTTTGTGGATCGAAAGTTTTGGTCAATATACACCCACTTTCTCTTCAATATTATACGACCCCAGATCAGCCTTTATTCTATAAAATGTATAATTTTGAGTTTAGCTAAGACTTTTACTTGGCAGCAAGTCAAGTGTTTTAGACTGTTAATATAAATCAAGCAACCTATCATTACAATAATGCCTATTCCTGTTTACGTAATTTTCTGAATCTTCTTACCATATTGTTCACGTGTTACTACCTAAACTAGTCTCTACGTCGTCTGTTTTTTGTAAACTACTATACTACTCATCTGTCAACATAAAACCAAACTATTTCTCTCATGGTAATAGCTTTTCAACAAATTTGTTTTTTACTTTACTGTCTCGTGAGCCCATTAGATTGCTCTCTATGGCACCATTCGTTGATCACTGATAAAACTTCTGAAGTGACTGTGAATGTGAAACCAAAAGTGTACTTTATACATTTATTTGTGATATAACCACTTAAAAAGTTTTGTGCTACTTTTTCGAAACATATAACGAAAACTGTAGTAGGCTTGCTACTACCTTATATTCTGACTGAAATCGGATAATGTTTCAAGCTAATGAATTAGGTAATCACCAAGACCCCACTCACGATATTGTGATAGTCCAACATATTTTAGTCCTATGCAAACTCTTTGTACCCACTAAACCAGTTTAAGAATTGAAAATCCCCTGGTTGTTTTCTGATTCTATCCTGCCTATTTTTGTGATTTACACTGATATAAATTTACGTGCTTATACGTCAGACAACGGACAAAAATAGAAAACAGCTCAATTAGTTTACAGTTCCTTATTTTTCAGATATTACTCCTTATTCTTGCATCTCTTTCTCGCTTTAAATGAGTAAAACCTATTATAATAAGATTGTTACTACTCATCAATTCAAGTTTGCAAAAACAGTGGCAAAACAAAAGTATAAAAATTAATTTTGCAGTTTCATCAGAAATGAATTTATTGATTTTATTTTGTTTGAGTGAATGAGCGATCAAACATTCATATAACGACGAGAAATATTACCAATATTAGTAGTGTCAAGTATGCATATATGATTGATTTGGTATAAGTAGTAAACTCTCTTATTTCCCGCAATGAGAATGCAAAATTTCGAGTATGACTGTGCTACACATTGGACTACTATAGTAAAATTAAACCTACGATTTATGTCTTTTAGAACCAAATGTTAGAAAGTTAAGTAAACTTATTCATGAATCAGGTGATCATGTTTGTTTAATAAATACGTATTATCTGAGTCTAATGAAAGCCATGCTAAAAGATACTTCATTTTTCGTGGGAATGTTTTTTTTAAAAGTTGTGTGTATTCACCTCAATGTGTAACTCAGTTGAACGTATTTTATTTCGCTGCGTAAGTATGTGCATTTGTTTGTAGCTATATTATAGTTGTTTTCTATTGATCGATTTAGAGTTTATGGGGAACTGTTATCATAATCGATATCATCAGAAAGGTTTTGTGAAAATTGTAGTAGTTTAATAATTGAATTCATGAGTCGATTAAAGCTAGACCACCATGGAAAACCTGGAAGCCTGAAGAGGTATTTCCTGGAGTTTTAGTGAGAAGCCGTGACCAGTGGCGTCCAGCTGTCTGTTGTGAAGCAGTAACTCACTGACGACAGTTGTAGACGGTGGTGCGATTTCGTGTATTAGTTGAAGTTAGACATTAACACAGTTGGAAGCCGGATCAGTGGTCTAGAGGTTAAGCGTTCGCTCACGAAACCGAATGTCCTGGGTCCGAATCTCGCTAGTGGGATCGTAGATGTGCACTGCTGATGAGTCTCACACTAGGACGAAACGGCTGTCCAGTGCTTCCAAGTTTTCCATGGTGATCTGGCTTTAATCGACTCATGAATTCAACTATAATCAATATCAAGTGATGCTTGTCAGGGTTGTCCGCTTTCCCCATTTTTGTTTAACTTATTCATATATATTCTTTTAGTGACAAAGTTTTCGTCGTCTAATCCTTCACAAGTCGATCTGTCAGGAGATCCACTTTTTGAATTAAAATGCGCATTTGACTGGTTGGTGAAAAGGCCAGTGAAATTCAGTCTTCTAATCGCCTTGGGCGGCAACGCTAACGTGTTTAGGATATGGTTCTCCCTATCTAAATGCAAAATGTTGCTTCAGGACTAGTCGGCGTCAACGCTTAGACTAGTGATAAAAATTAATATAATTAAGTGCGTCAGTCATTTGAAAGTTTTATTGACCCTTGTAGATTTTTGAATAATGAAATGTTGGTTATCTTTTGCGTCACATGCGGCTTAAATAAGTGGTCGCTCTACCAACCAAAGGACAGCTGTACTGCTCAAAAGTTCGTTCTTCTATACTTCATTTCTGTGAAATGTGACTTCTAAATACGGGGGTACGTATGTTACTAGTTTTTGATCGTAAATCCCCTTGAATTATTGCTCGCGTATGCTGGGATCACTGAGTGAAGAATGCTGAAATTAAGCTTAGGATACTATCTTAAGATGGAAAATCAGTTGATTATGCAGCCCATTTTCCTCAACTGGCATAATGTATTACGCATCCCCGACCACTATCTACCTCGATGGGTGATGTTGGGCGACATAGGAGTAGGGTGGAGAAAAGCTATGAGTGACCAAACCAATGTGTATCATAAGTCCTTGGAATTATTGATTGGGGACCAGCCATGTAGGTAGGTTCAGACTGCTCTAACCTTACAAAGTTCGCGCCATTATCGCAACTAGTGTTTGGAAACACCGGTTGATACGGCTCCAAATTGTTCTCAGTGACCCATTTACTCACTCATTTTTTATTACTATATCCTGAGTCCAAATGTCTTTATAATTGACTTTCACTACTAATACTACCACTGATATTGTCACTACTCTGCTATTTGCCTTGATAGTTTCATCTCGCTTTTTTATATAGTGTGGAAACTTCAGCCTATGCACTTATGTTTCAGATTGTACGTTACATATGACTGACTGTCTAGGGTATATCCATGCGTCGTATTCTTTTTTTCCCATTTTTAACGGCTTTACCTTTTCTATAGTCTGTTAATTTTTATTACACCAATTTATTCATAATGTTTGTATGCAAAAGTCGTACCGGTTATCTCTTGTATCTAATAAATCTTATGGTCAGTGATTACACTCTACCTTCAGATTAGCTGAATCTGGAAGAGAATGAAGATTGTCTTTCATTGATCTATAGCAGTCAATATTTGGTAGTGATTCATTTAGTATCAGTGATCCACAGAAATCCGTTCACGTTGTTTGACATCGTTAGGATCGTTAAAAAACATCGGATTCTTTACGCATAAATATAGAACCGAACAAACGGTGCAACTGACAAGATTTACTATTTATCATGGAGTTTATCAGATCAATCGTATATGGGCATTTTTCAGGTCGATTGTTAAGATATCTGCTAATTCAAGTTTTATAGATTTGCTTCATAGTTAAAACATACTTGAGCCATTGGTTCAATTGTGTGATATTATAATACTGGTCGATTATTCTTATACCTTTTGTGCAAAAACCGCTTATATTCTCTGACTGTTTAAACTCCTGTGAACGATGTTTTTACGAATTCATGACCTACAGAGTAATAGTTTATCGTATGTTATCCACGGCCCTACTAAATCGAAAACATATTATATTAACTGAAAGAGTTACGCGGATATTATTTTCGATCATGCCTACAGGCAAAACACACGTAAAGAAGTAAATATTTGTTTTAAAATATCTATCGGATTTTCGATTAGTCTTTTATATTTATTTACACGACACATTGTATTTAATAAATTCTACTTCATAAAAATTATAAATTGATTACTCCATGCATTCGTTTATAAACTAACTGCATATATACTAGATGTAAAATATGTATTTTATGCATTGGGTGTGGTCGTCATAACTCCATTATTGTTGTTCACCTTTAATTTATTGTTTAAAAAAATACATATACAGATTAGTCATAATTGTATACATGATCTACCGTTATATTAGTTAACTTCAACAACTATATCTAATAAAAATTAGAAATTCTCTGATAATTTTTTCTGTTCGGGAAATGTTGTTAGCCTTAAAGCAATCAAAAATAACAAATTTATATTTAAATCGAGTTACTTTTAACTTTCATTGGAATTTTTTATTCTGACCTATTTGTCAAAATATTCCTAATGTATAGAATTTATATTTTTGTTAATTCCTAAAGTATATTAAGGACTTCTCAATGTTATGCCATTTTCATTAGTTTTATGGTCACAAATTGTTTAGTGCACTTTTGGCATTAGCTATATATAAATAACTAGATCTAATTTCTGTTAGTTTATATACTATACATTTTTTAACTCCACTTCAGGCAACCGAGTTTTGCCACTAGCAACTCTTATGAAAGTTTGATTCAGAACCGAACAAATAGATTAGTATTTGATTATAACGTTACGTTAATACTGTTACTAATTAGTCTGGTCGTAAGTGACTAGTATTTTCTTTTTCTCATTGAATTGGGACACAAAAAAGCTCAGTACACTGATGTACCAAAATCACCTACCTTACATTGATTTCCTTTATTTGAAATAAACGAACAACTTTCAACCACCTTACTCTCAACTTAATTGTTAGTTTTTTATTGTTACTTTTGTAAGTTCTGTCTTTGACTCGGCTAAACACATGTACCTTGCACTGAATGAGCATTTTGTTCTTATTCATCAATTCGTTATGCTTAGATCAACTTGATAATTAAAATATCATATTTAATCCAAATTTAAAATTGCATCTCTTTTTCATATTGTATAGGTCAACCTAAAGGCGTTGAAATGACCCATGAAAATTTAGTTAGTGCCATAGCTGGTCATCTACAACGTTTACCGAAACTTCGTAGTAATTACGACATATATATAGGATATTTACCGCTAGCTCATGTTTTAGAGCTTACCTGCGAATTATCCTGTGTCATTATGGGTGTACGAGTAAGTTTCATGATAACTTTCTGCATGCTTTTTTTGTTACAATGTTCTTGTTTAAAATAACAGTTTAAAGTACAATAAAGGGAAACAATTATACTTACGCCTGTTGCCCCTAGTGGAGGAGTAATGGTTGCTCGTCAGCGTTCTCCATCGAACTCTGTTCTGGGCAATCTTTTCCAATTGTTTTTGGTTGCTATTCATTCTTTCAGTATCTGTCTCCGATTCCTGATGCAAAGTTCTCTTTGGTCCACCTCTTTTCCTTTTGACTCTAGGATTCCAAGCCAGTATGCCTCATGATGCAGTTTAATGATTTCCTCAGTGTATGTCATGACCGCCTCCAACGTCTTTTCCTAATTTCCTCTTCATCAGGAAGCTGGTTTGTTCTTATCCACAGTAACCTTTTGTTGATGGTATCTGACCAACGAACATTGAGTATTTCGTGTAGACAATTGTTTATAAATACGTGCACCTTTTTGATTATGGTTGTAGTAGTTCTCTAAACTTCAGCTCTGTTCAGTAGAATTGTCTTGATGTTCGTATTGAAGATTCTGACTTTGCCGTTGGCTAGTATGTGTTTTGAGTTTCACATGTCCTTTACATGTAGGGAAGCTACCCTTGTTTTGCCAATCCTCGCTTTTACATGTGCATCAGATCCTCCTTGTTTATCAATGTGAAAGTTTCCATCTTTTCCTGAGTTTCTCCATCAAGTGTGATTGGGTCTTGTTCTCAGTATTGTATTTGAGGATCTTGCTTTTTCCGTTGTGTATGTTGAGGCTTACTGCTGCAGGGGCTGCTTCCATACTGGTTGTCTTCACTTGCATTTGTTGGTGTGTATGGGATAGAAGGGACAGTTTATCTAAGAAGTTGCCGTTAAATCTTCTACCTGTCAGCTCTAATACTCTTCTTCACTTGCTTGTTTGCTTCTTCAAATTTGGCCTGTGCCTTAACTTTCTCTGCTCTTGTTCGAATGTTGTTAACTGCTATCTTTTCTTGAATTCTGCCCAGGGTTTCTATAGAAATCCGTTCTTTATGATGATGCCTCTTGCGGCCCAACACTTCTTGACATGCGGAAGTTAATGCTTCTTTGATCCCTTCCCAGTTGTCCTTTATAGTAGTCTCCTCTTCTTTGAGTAGATCTTGTCAGGCTTGAAACCTGTTGTTGAGAGCTATCTTGAATTCGATGAGTTTGTCAGTATCTCAAAGGAAGACTGCACTCAAAGTTTGTAATGCTATTTCTCCAGTTGTCCATTGCTTTTTTAGCTTCAGTTTCATCACCAGGTGGTGATCTATAGCTATGTTAGCTCCTCCCTTGGTTCTCACATCTTCCATTGACTTTCTGAATATTTTAGTGATGCAAATATGATCGATCTGGTTCTGTGTAGTGTGGTCTGGTGAGATCCATGTCGCTTTGTATATGCGCTTGTTGAAGGCACATGAATTTGCAAATCTGTCACCGTTCTCGTTTCTTGCTCACAGTCCATGTTGTACCATTATATCTTCATACATGGTGTTGTCCGTTCCAACTTTGGCGTTTAGGTCTCCCATCAGGATGGTCAAGTCTTTTCTTAGACACTTCGCCACGATCGATTGCAAACTCCTGTAAAACTGGTCCTTATCGTTGTCGTTGCTATCATTGGTGGGTGCACAACATTGGATAACATTCACTGTGATCCCCCCGTTTTTTGTGTACTTTGATGATTCTGAATCCATGAGATTTTCGTCCTATAAGTGCTTTCCGTGTTTCTTTGAACAGCATCAGAGTGACTCCTTGAGTGTGTGGAGCTTTATTCTTCTTCGCTACCAGAGTACAGCAGCATCCCTCCTAAATCTAACAGTTTCTGTCCAGCCTGTGTCCAATGAGTTTCACTGATTCCGAGCACCGCCAATTCGTATCTCATTTCCGTGGCTATTTGATTGGTCCTTCCGATCTCGTACACTGCCTTGACATTCCATGTACCCATATTAATTGTTGCTCCGGTTGTTAGAAGGGGTATCGTCCTCGTGACTTCCGAAGAATATCGGCTTTCACTATGGATCGTCATGATTCACCTAAATGAAGATCCTCCAACTCCCAAAGGCAGAGTTCAAATGGTATAAATGATTTTTTATGGTCAGCGTTTCTTAGCAAGATTGTTTTCTACGGTATATGGTTGCTGAGCCCATACCCAACCCTCCTCCTTTATCCGGGCTTAGAACCGACAATATTCCTAGAAGTGCTACAGGTGGAGTTATATGAATTTCTTTTATTTCATAAATTTCCAGTTGCTTACAATTTCGAAACAAAAGTTTTAACTATTAAAATCAAAATAAGTATTGACATATCAGAAAAGTCTTGGTTAATGCTAATATTGATATAGATGTAGAATAGTATTCAAAAGACAGTTATCATAAAAGAATTAAATAGTTGGTATACGGTTGTTGACTGGAAAGAAGAGTTCAGGACATAGTCTTTTAGAGGATCCTGGCCTATGCTCCACAAGTGGTAATAGGCTTAAATAAGTATAGTATGAATATATAAGTATCTTAGCAGAATAAACTGAGAAAAGCATGAAAGCAGGATTCTAGTAATAGTAGATCAATTTCAGAGGTTATATAGTACTAAATGCCAGTAAATTAACTGAGTTAAATTTGGCTTAGGAAACGAAAATAAAATAAACAGAATTAGGGTTGTTAGAAGATCAGTGTCACGTAACCAATTGTTGAAACTATGATCGTCAATACAAAGAACAATCGACAGAGGTGTTCGCCTAAGCTCAAATTTGCTTGAAATCTTTGTATATTAATGGCTTTGCTAAGGCATAAACTTCATATCAAAGTTTATACTTTATGCCTTATAATACAGATGTCACTTAGTCAGTCACAACGTAGAACCTGGTACATATGCCATACTTCATTATCACAAAGAGGCGAAGTCGTTAGACCGAACCCAAGGATAGGAGAGGTAGTAACAGTATCAGTGGTAATAGAAAAGATTAGATACAATTCAAGTAGAAAACAAGTTAGTTAAATTAAGACCAAATAAATTCGTGAGGAATTCATAAGCTACCTATGCCTATTTACATGGACATACATAACGCATGTCCCAACCACCTCATTTGATGAGGATTTACTAACTCGTCAATCTTTTTCTTATTCTTACCTAGTATTATGCTCATAATCCTGAGATTGCTTACTCCGTGGTCCCAAAATACACGAGCAATGCTTTGTAGGGATATATATATAATCAAATACCAGTAACCTACGGATATCCTCTACTCTCAACGACCATGTTTCATATTCATATAGTGGAACGGAGCGAACTGCTGCGCAGTAAACTCGTTCTTTAGTTAAAAGACATTATGACTTTGTCAATATGTGGTCAACGTGAGCTTGACGCACATCTATGAATGATTGCTAAGCTTTATTGTATTGTCATAAATTTTCCACAGATTGGTTACTCGAATCCACAAACACTAACAGACACTTCATCCCGTATTAAACGAGATTACTGCTTAGGTGATGTCAGTCTTCTTCGACCTACTCTTTTTGCCAGTGTACCTACTGTATTAGAACGTATTTCTAAGGCTGTTTGGGAAAAAGTGAACGCTGGCGGTGAATTTCTTCAAGCTGTAAGTTTACGTCAAAATGTTTATAATTCATATACTCTACGTTAAAGATTCTGATATTATTAGATCTTTCCAACGTCACCATCGTTAATAGGAAATAAACTTTCGTTTATTGTTTTATTTATTATAGATAGAAAATACATATCTCTGTGGTAAACAGTAGTTAACTTATTGTATTGACTGATCTTTATGGAATTCCTTACATATTATAGGATGAAAATGTATACAACGATCAACCTCACAGTTATCCGGTTATTGGTATTCTGTAAAAAAACACTGAGTGTATTTTTGTTAGGGTTCGACAAGAAATATTTTTACTTATCAATAGTCTCATTCTTTATTTAAAAATTTAATTCACATCTGTCAATACTGAAACTGAAAACATTAATCTCGAACTTTTTGAACGGTGATTGGTAGTTTTGTAGAATCATGTGCATTTTTCACTTTAGTTATTAACCTTCGTGATCTAGTTTTCAATATTTTTAAACTTTACGAAGTTGTTGAGTTTAGTTGACTTCCTACTGGGTGGTGTACTTTCTTCCACAATGTCCAAAACAGAGTATGATACACTGTGATGACGTATCATGTGGCAAATCTTGTTCCACGGGTTTCAAAAATTACCATTGTTCAGAACTTGATAACCATTTGAATGTCCAAATAATAGGTTTTTCCTCTGAAGATATCATTTTGCTGTGAACGAGAAAACAGATAAGGACAACCAGTTGTATTTGAATATAGAATTACAGAATCTCTTGGTGAAATATGAGAACCATACATTGAGTACTTCATCTGCAAAATCCCATTATTTGTCCTCCAAATTATGTGTGGTTCTTCCAAGTCACAATTACTTTCTATTTCCGTTTCTGTTTTCTTCAACTCGATCTTCTTAGCATCCTGCTGCCCGGTTTTCTACTTCCGATTAGTGCTGCATACTACTTATGTCTGTCGACATAAGTAGCATACACCACAGTTTGAACAACATAGCATAAACTTGCATATCATATTTAATTTGCGTAGTAGCATATGAAGCACTAGTACCATTATCATCATCAGATCATATATAAACATGGTTCGTACAAATATATGTACATTAATCGCTCACTAACACTTTAGTGTTTACTTTTTTGGTGCCGTCAAATTCTGTCTAACAGATGTACATTGTGACCACTATTATAAGCAACTGTATATCGCGATGCTCTGCATTTGACTGACTGATTGCATTTGATTCTGAATTTTTAGAGGTATTCTATCGAAAACCATGAATACGCGTTGCTGTAATCGACCTGTAACACATAATTTATCTTGAACTATTGCGGTGACTTTCGTATTTTTGTTAACGCTCAGTTCAAAAAATTACGTGTTCAGTCCACTTCCAAGCATTAGATCGCAGTTTGAAACCTTAATGCTGCATGGGTAGTGTTATACAGCTCACGCACTATTCGTTTACATCAAAGCTGAATAATAAATCAGTACTGGGTGGATGAGTCATCGTCCATTTTAAGATTTCCGTAACACAGACATTGCTTTCATTTGTGAAACCACCTTGTATATCTTTTTTCAATAGAATGTTTACTGTCAATTGTGTGGCAAATTGTGAAATGTTTTCGTCAACTTCAAGAATCTAAACCTTTAACTGGTTTGTGTCTGACTAGAATAAATAACTAAGTACGTATTATTAATAGAAAAGGTCACCATATACAGTGATTTTTAATACATTGAATCACTTCTCAAAACCTAATTTTATTAAAATTAAAATAGAAACTTTATATTGAAATTTTTGTATTCTATAGTTCACATTAGTGAATTGATTAACTATAAATAACGTTAATGTTGATAACCCGATTGTTGTGAAATGTTGACTGTTTTACTGTTTAATAAATAAAAGTTAGAGGTAGTGATTCAGCATAAGGTCATGTTTACTTTATACTAAATAAAACATTGGTATTATCATTAATTATACACGTGTATCATCGTGGCTCATTTCGTATTGAAGTTTATCTACATCATTTTTTGTGTTCTCCAGTCTTATCTACAATTAATCTATATACATTGATAACTACTGATTGACTTAATCAATTGTATTAAATTATACTCTTTTTAACACGTTTGCGAAGTTGATTCATTATGTCTCATCTTTTCAATGATTACATAATCGCAATTAATGTGTTCGATCTTATATTTATGACCAATGATGATTATGATAATAATAATTATTGACAATATTAGCTCATATTATCTTTCTTGTAGCATTTTGTTTTTAAAAAAAACCGGTTATCTGTTTGATAGAAATACCATATCACATCAGCTTTTGTGAATTATTTTTTGTGGTAGTCATGTGGTAATTATGAGAATATTGTAATATGAAGTGCCAATTAAAAAATGAGTAATATTATGATCTTGTACCTGTGTGTATTTGCCTGGATAAAAATGTTGACGTAAAACTTTATAAAACGGTAATTTTATGGCACTTATTTTTCGGTTCAATCTATATCTATACTCAGCTAGTCCTACTTTGATATGATGTTAACTGGAATAACTAACGATTGACTGCAAAAAATGTCTATAAGAAAGCTGGACTGAAATTTTTTGAATTTTTTAAATATGTGAGATATGAAAAATTACCTTAAAAATCGTGCTAAATCGTTTTGATAATCTTAAAAGTACTCATGAGAGTGAATTGAAATAAAGCTTATATAAATTATCGTTTCTGTTCATTCGAATGTATTCTTAGTTTAGCAAGTCCATAAATTTAAGTGCGAAATAAATGTAGAAAACTAGTCAGGATTTTATCTAATGGTTTTAATGACTTTTGATGCTAGCTAGCATATAATAATTCGTAGTACACGTTTTACAAATATAATTCATGTTCTGGATTCCTCTGTTTCCACCCAGTCAATGATATTCGTGTGCGAATTTTGTAGGCATATTATGAAACTGTGTTATCTAATATATTTTTATGTATTATAGGCTTCTCAGATTCAGTAGATTGCTAAGTTTCTCCAGTCAACTGATAAACATAGTCTCGTTTTAAACTATCTTTTCAGATGTAATACAGTTAACAGTAAAAACGAATAATCGTAGAACAACAAATAATTTGAACTAGTTTTTACATTGAAATAAAGTATTGCTATTTTCCATTTCTTTTCGTTTTCCTGCCATAAAAATGTTTGTTAGTATTATCTTGTTCATGTTATCTTTTTTCATATAGCTCTTCAAATTTGCATATGCCTACAAATGCCGACGAATTCATGGTGGTTTTCCAAGTTTCCTCGTGGATCGGTTGATTTTCCGTAAGGTTAGATCCCTCATGGGTGGACGAATTCGTTATATTGTTTGTGGTGGAGCACCATTATCAGAAGATTCACAATTATTCACAAATATATGCATCGCACCTATTGTACAAGGGTAAGGCTTTTATTCCGACTATTCAGGGAGATATATTTATCGACTAAAAATGTATTCCGTAAGGATCACATGTCAATATCATCGTATCATCAGCTTCTCACTAAGCAGGGAAGTCAAAGATCACCGGTTTGAGCACTTCACACTTAGCACATATCCAGACATCACTCCATTTGTTTCTCGTGAATAACAAAATTAGTTTCCCTCCACTTAGACAATAACATATGGTTTAGTCTACGCTTACTAAGTTGCGTTCTTCACTACTTTTTAGTGAGCAAGAACATGAGCGGGAACAACCAAATGTTTTTTAATACAACATTACAGGATATCTTGGTCAAATCTGAAAACCATACAGTAATACTTCATTTACAAAATATCTATCAATTATCTTAGATTTTGTTATTCCTTTATCTCCATACCAATCACCCTCTGTTCTCGTACTCTTCGATTTTTTCAACCTCTTGCCTTCAGACATTCCACTTTCGGTTGGTGAGACATGCTAATTATATCTGTCAATATCAGTAGCACACATCACAATTTGACTAACTTCTAGTCACTAATTAGCATGGTTTTCAATCAAAAGTTTTATTTACGACTTATAGCAACTATCGATCCAAAGTACTCTAAACATTATGATTATTTGTCGCTGTTCTAAGATAAAAATTGATCAATGATTGTGTTGGAGTTAATTTAATTCTTCTCAGTTCCTGTCGGTTTAATCACCGTGATACTATATAATGCTATGTGTACTGTATTTTATGGAACAACACATTCAGGTTAGTTCAACAAATATATTCAACTACAGACCTCAGTGTTCTGATAATATTTTGCTTTGCATAGAAAGCGCTATTTATCAATTTCATCGAATGCATCACTTAACAACAGTTGAACTTTTCTCAGATGTCAATTCATAATCAAAGGTTTCTAAGTATATTAGTCGCATATATTTTTTAAGAAAAATTGTGTTTAATAAAAGGTGAACAATAGTTTCTAATTAACTACGACACTATTTTACATAATTACACCTGTTGCCCCTTGTGAGTCATAGGCCACCGAGCAGATATCTCCAACTAACTCTGTCTCAAGCTATCCTTCCCAGTTGTTACCAAGTGCTGTTCATAATTTTGCTATCTGATTCAATTCTCCATCCCATATGTTCTTTGGTCTGTCTCTTTTTTCTTTACTTTGAAGATCCCGAGTTTAGGGCTTAGTCTATGAAGCAGTTTGATGGTTTCTTCAAAGTGTGTCCTATCCACCTGCAACGTCTTTTCCTAATTTCCTCTTCAGCTGTAGGCTGGTTTAAGCTCTACCATAATACGTTTTTGCTGATGGTGTCCGGAAGACGGATCTTGAGTAAAGTGTATAGACAGTTTATAAAGAATTCTAACTTTTTGATTATAGTTGTAGTAGTTCTCCATTTTTGGCTTCGTATATTAGATCCGTCTCGACATTCGTATTGTAAATTTATTACTTCATAATAAACACTAATTGTCCTTTATGCCAAGTACTTGACTATTTTTCAAATCGTTGTCACTCATGTATTGCAATCTATCTTTCTCGGATTTGTCAAATAAGAATTTTCAGTTTTTTGTATGGTTTATTTCCTAGAATTGTGTATCAGGTGTTATACATTAGTGATGAACTTCATATATATATATATATATATATATATATATATATATATATATATATATATATATATATATATATATAGAGAGAGAGAGAGAGAGAGAGAGAGTAATTTGGTGTAGTGCCGTGCAGTTTTCATAGATATAATGATTTCAAAAGTTATTAAACTGTTTACTTTTTTCATTTCAGTAGTTGTTTTGTAAAAAGTTTACCGTAACACACGTTTAGTTTACTTGGGCAATTAAATTTAATTAGGAGGCCTGTTAACATGTTTCGGAATATGGTTTTCATTGTCTTGTTTTAAGATTATGAATCTTTATCGTTAGAATCCAGTTTGGATTTCATTTTTGAAACATTCAGAATCTAATTTACTTCGTAGGCTCAGATTTTGTTTCCTTGGGTTAGCTTGGGTGGTTGGACAACAATATTTAGTGTTACATATTATTAATACATAAAATCAAGTTTATTCTTAAAATTATTTTACTTATTTGTTGAGAGCATTATAGTCACTTAATGAGCGATGTTTCGAACTAACTATAAAAATTCAACTCCTTTACTGACAAATTTCTTTTACAGTTATGGGCTTACTGAGTCCTGTTCTACTGGCGCTTTGATGGAGTGTGGAGATCTGCGATGTAATCATTCTGGAGCACCTGCTCCTACTCTGCAGATTCGTCTAAGAGCATGGCCTGAAGGTGGATATTCTCCCTATGATACACCGTCTCCACGTGGGGAGATTCTTTTATCTGGTAAACCGGTTTCTAGAGGTTATTACAAACAGCCTGAATTGACAGCTAGAGATTTCATAACCGATCAAGACGGTACACGTTGGTTTTGTACTGGTTCGTTTCTATTAATTAACTATTCCTATTGTGCTAATAAGTAAAGTTTGTTTTTCTGTATATTATTTCAATTACTCAAGACATTTCTTGGCAGTTATCATCAATCGCTTGAGGATAATTATTTTAAAATGTATGTGATAAATGAGACTTTACTACTGTTTGAGCCTCCCTTCCAAGTGCTCGCTCTAAGAGCAGATTTAATATTGTCAATTTACCGTTTTGAATAATGCAATTGTTGCAAAATTATTGTGATTTTCAAAAGTCAGTTTTACGTTTTGTTATAACACTCTGTTTTCCCCGTCTACGCGAATGAGGGACACCAATTTGCTGTAGACGAGTATCTACCAGTGTCTATTCTACAGGACTTCAACACAACTCAGATCAAAAACACGTGACTAGCCTGACTAGAACGTAAGTATATTTCCACATCAAAAACTGATAACAATCACAATAATAATAAGGGCAAGAGTATATATAACTCATCCAGTACGAGTCCGACTAAGCATGCAACCAATCAGTATATTCCTCGCCCACACCCGTAACAGAACACGAGACCAAATAGGTCACTTTCAAATCCTTCCTACACCTAATAACTCTGTTATCTCCACGACTAACCCTTCTCACGTCCTTTTATCGCCTCGCACCGCTAGGGCAAACGATTCGAGTACACGGAACGTTATTCCTGATCTTCTGAAACCACGCTTTAAACTACATATAGGAACTTTTAACTTCCCAACATTGTGCCAAATAGGACAACAGGCTTCCTTAGCTAGGACTCTAGAATCTTACACCTTCGATGTGTGCTGCGTCTCCGAAACGCGCATACAAGATCCGAGTAGTGTCATTCATTTGACCACACCTAATCAAAATAAAGAACCATCTCGATGCACGCTTCGTGTATCTGGAAGCCCTGATGCTGCTTCCCGTGGCCTCGCTGGAGTAGGTATAGCATTAAGTCCTAGGGCAGAACAAACTCTTAGACTGGATCCCAATAGACAGTCGTCTATGCGCTGTCCGACTAAACAGATCAGTAAGGACTCGAAAAGATAAGGAAACTCGTCTCTGCCTACTTTCCCACTGACTGCAGCTCAGACGATATAAAAGATGAGTTTTACAGGAAACTTTCTGACCTTCTCCGAGAAGCTAGGCGTTCTGATGTAGTAATAGTGGCTAGTGACTTTAATGCTCAAGTAGGTAAACTAAACGAAAGATACCTGGGTGGATCTTATAGTATGTTGGCTCAAAGAACAGATAATGGCGACCGTCTGTTGCAGCCATGCTCAGATAATCGCCTGTTTCTTGCAAATACTAACTTTAATCATAAGGAAAAACATCTTTTGACATGGCGACTCCCGAATTCGTCCCAACGTTGGACCCAATTAGATCACATCGCTATCAGCCACTGATGAAGGGACTCGATAGAAGACTGTCGCTCATTCTGGAACACATGTTTAGATTCAGATCATGCTCTAGTGCGAGCACGTATCTGTCTGCGTCTTACTGGACGTAGGAAAGACACTGCAAGAAAACCTCTTAGGGTTCTACTTAATGATAGGCAAGCTAAGAATATATTTCAGGAACAGCTAGAAAAACACTTAGGCAATCATGTAAGTTGTGCCCACCCCGAGACAGTGTGAAATGATATCCAAAAAGCTGTGGAATCAGTAGTAATATTTGCTAGTACGGCAAACCATAAGGTTAGGGAGAAACACTGGATCTCAGCAGCATCTACCGCACTGATAGATGCTCGAAAACTCATCCCACCTGGCTCTGAAAATAACGAAGAGCGGAGTCAACTTAAGCGAAGGCTAATAGGAAGCCTACGCAATGATCGTGAACAGTGATGGGTAGCGAAAGCAAGAGAGATGGAAAAGGCAGCGGCAATAGGTAACAGGGCTGTCCACTCTCCCCATTCTTGTTTAACTTTGTCGTTAACATGCTTTTAGAGATATCACTTTCATCATCTCAATCTACTGGAGTTGAACTTTTACCGGGAGACTCACTTGTTGACTTAGAATACGCCGACGACATAGTTTTATTCGGTGAAGACGCTGACAACATACAGAGTCTTCTGACCACTATAAGCAACAATGCAGGCATTTTCGGGATGTGATTCTCTCCCTCAAAGTTCAAAATGTTACTTCAGGATTGGGTTGCATCGACACCTGAACTAATGATAGGGAGTGAAGTAGTTGAACGTGTTGACAGCTTCACTTATCTTGGGAGTTTCATCAGCCTTTGTGGTCTGATGTTTGACGAAATCTCAGCACGGATGCAGAAGGCTCGTTTAGCTTTCGCCAACTTGCGCCATTTATGGCGTAGGCGAGATATCCGTCTAGCAACCAAAGGACGGGTTTACTGTACAGCAGTTCGTTCCGTCCTACTTTATGGCAGTGAAACATGGCCGATAAGAGTAGAGGATATTCTTAGGCTACTAGTATTCGATCATAGGTGTCTTCGATGCATTGCTCGTATATCCTGGGAACACCGGGTAAGTAATGCAGATGTTAGGAAACGGGTACTAGGTAAGGATGGCAAATCAGTTAATTAAGTAGTGAAACTTCATCAGTTGAAATGGCTGGGACATGTGTTACGTATGCCCAACCACCGATTGCCTCGACGTGCAGTGTTTCATGTTGTAGGAGCAGGTTGGAAGAAAGCTAGGGGTGGCTAGACCAAAACATGGCATAAATCCATGAAGTCACTGACAAGTGGACTGAGACATGTTGGTAGGTGTAGACTACCTGGTTGGGATTCGCGAGATGATAGCAACAGATGGTTAGAGACCTTGAATGACATGGCTCAAAATCGTTTGCAATGGCGAAGGTGCATCCACTCTTTGTGCTCTACCAAACTCTAATCTTCTGAATTCTTCATGTCCGTATCCTTTTTCTCTTTCCAAATTTCTTTCACGTTATTATACTCCAATAACATCTTCAAACCCTTATCTTTCATATAATACTTATACTCTTACTACTTCTACCAATATGGGATTTGAATCGACAACTTCATCTCTGTGCTAATGTGGTATGGCAACTCGAACTGATGTACGTACGTACGAAGTTCTACGTTGTAACTGACTGATTGACACATCATGTTCGGGCAATTCTATGAATTGTTTAAAAACTTATATGAGGATATCCTGATATGGAGTTAACTTTAATTTTGTCACTCATTTATATCTTCATATTCAATACGTTCTGTAAATAATAGCGTTGATTAATTTCTAGACACAAATACTTTTGTATGTTACATTTTATTCTTATGAATCTATTTTTCAGGGGATATTGGCTTAATGCATACAGATGGAAGTTTATCAATAATTGACCGTAAAAAAGATCTTGTTAAACTACAAGCTGGGGAATATGTTTCCCTTAGCAAAGTTGAAATGGCTCTTAGTCAATCAGCCTATGTTGAACAAATTTGTGTTTATGTGGACCCGATGCAAAATTATCCAATCTGTTTCGTGTCACCGAAATTAAAATCGCTTATTGACTTAGCAGAATCTTTGAACTTAGTCCACTTACTACATGAAGCTCGTTCAAAACTTCCTATAGAATCAATGAAGGATTCCATTGCTATCGAACATGTGGAACGAGCTGTTCTCTGTAAACACCCTCAAGTGAGTTTTATTCATTTAGAAAAATATAGTTTTTATAAACAATTAAATTTGAGCATAATGTCATCTTATGATATAATGTTTCTATTTTTATTTTATTTATTTAAACACCTATATATTGGTACAGAAGGGCACCAGATACATATGCGCCACACAAAATAATGAAAGTAGGAAGAGAAAGGATGAAAAGATAACGCGGAATAAAATGTACAACCAGAAGACTCTTTCAGTTAAGAAAGTTAGAACCACTCTTTATGTAGAAAGTAAAAGAAGGTTACAGCATGATCGCCACTGGCTTCTATTCTGAGCCATATTTGATAACGTCTCTAGCCACTGTGTTGCACCATCTCTCGGACCCCAGCCAGGGAGTCGTGAAGGACCAACAGAAGCTAGCCCTTTGCAGCTCTCTTTCATGCCACGACACCATGTCATACACTGACATTTCATCATTTTATTTCACACACAAATAAATGAAATGATGAAATAATGTTTCTATAATTCGTGATAACGTCATTGTATGTCTACTTTATGATCTTGTAATTCAAGGTCAATTCCTTTCGCCCTATTACTAAATTTAAGCTCGTTGTCAAAGTCACACCATATGGTGTGATGTGAATGTCCTTTTAAAGGTCTCTCACGTCTCTGCTAATCTTATTGGACAATAAATGTGTGTCAGGTATGAATAAAAACACACCTACAATTTATTCATTTTTATGTGATGTATTATGTAATTAATGGACTAATTTCATGATAAAATTGTTTACTAACTGCTTGTTTAAACTTGTATAGCCAAGTGCTTTTCGAATTTAATTTATTTCTCTATTATTTTTATAGTCTTGTGTATTATGTTACTGGATAAAGTAAACTTTTATTTCCTTGCATATCTATTACTAAATTCCCCCAAATCACCATTGTAAAACGTAGTGAATTTCTATTCATTTGTATTGGTTGCTTTAATCTTCCCACTGATGCTGTGGATTACATGCAGTTGATCCATCTCTTTTCACTTGATATTTCCATTCAATCACAAGTCAGTGTCTATCTGAACTCGGCAGCTAAATGGATGTGGGTGGGTAATACTGTGGGTGCTTGAGGTAAAAAAAAATCACTGGGTTCGAGTTCCCGTGTCAATACCAGCACGGATGGGCGTACATTCGCCTGATGAGTTGAGTCCTAAATGTGACAAAACGCTCGTCCTTGATTCCACTGCCAACCACTATCCAATTCTGCTTAGAATACTTGTGACTTACTGGGAATCCTCAAAAGTTGCACATATCCCTAAAATAAACTGATCAATCTCATACAGTCTATAATATCAACAGGAAGATTCAAACAACGAATAGAAATGAAGAAGTGTTCTATTTTCAGATGATTAGCTCATTATACTATTCGCCCAGTGTGGTGCCTATTGTTAATAAAATTACCATGCCTATTTTTGTGGTTGAGGTGTCTATTATCCTCAGCTAATGGGCTTGTTTGCGATTTAAAATCATTCGGAGTCTCAAGTCATTGGTCTGGCCTGGTGAACAGTCATCACTCGACCACACTTTGTATCACTATTTATCATCTATTGATCAGTATTCTTCACGTTCGTCTTAACAACCGAACATTTCGTTCACCAACTTAGAAAATCCTACCCCATAACATATCAGTCACCATTGTCTCATTATTCTAAATTACTTTATTGTAAATAACTTTTGCGGGTAAAATTATATTCATGTAATTTTGTGATAATGTTACGCTAACATGTTATTTTTCATCAACCTTTGCTCAATTCTGATATGTATTAGTTGGTTGTCAAATGTCTTAATGGTGTATGTTTACTAATAAATCAATTGTTCAACTCATCCTTTTATATTAATGTTCCAATTAAAGTGCTTCTCTGTTTTTTCTCTTCATTATTCTAGATTATACAGGCTGTGTTAAAAGATTTACAACGAGTTGCTAGAGAGAAACGTTTAAGCACTTTTGAAATACCACAAAAAGTCGCTTTAGATACTATAGCTTGGACACCGGACACTGGTCTTGTAACAGATGCATTAAAATTAAAACGTTTCAACTTACAAACTCGTTTTCAACATGAAATTGAAGAACTCTATCAAAAGGATACACGAGCATAATTATTAAATTAATAATAAATATTATTCACCAAGTGAAATACAGAAATGAGTATTGAAATGTATGCAGTACATTCCATCTTTATCATTAGTATTTAATATATATGTGAATAGATATAATACCAACAGCTTATTTGTATTAAACCTTTCAAATAGACTCAAACGGTCATCAATTAAATCATATAAACCGACCATATATATATATATATATATCTTTTGTTTTACCAGCCAGTTATTGTTGTACACAAGTCACTGGACATATTCATTATGGTCGTCAAAAAACATTGTATGTATGTGATTCTGTAGTTATAAACGTACATAATTAATGGTGCTTGAATAGTTTGCTCTTTTCAACTTCTATGTCTTCATATCGACCCCATTTGTTTGTAGCTTCCCCAAATTTCTCTATGGTATACTTCTCTCGCTCATTCTGATTAGTCAGTTTTCGCATAATTGTATCTCTTTTCATCAATTCATTTGCCTTCTTCCTGTAAATCTTGGTAGCAGTAGTAGTAGTAATACCAATGATAATTATCGTAACAGTGACGATCAAAGTGGTGTATTTAAAATTGTTATCTCCAAAAATACATCTGTTTTTCATTCTGTTTCGTTCGATCTTCATTTTCATTCATTAATATGATTAATACTACATATATTTCATATATATTATTTATTTGCCTTTATTCTGTTTCTTGTCTAAATATTTACCGTGTCACCGGTTGATTTTTTCTTTGTAGTTTCGTGTATTTCTAATTGTCTTGAAGACATTCGTGTCTGTTTTATAATCTTAGTTCGATGTTCAATTATTCGTTTTTTGGTATTAAATGTAACAAATGGTGTAGCTTGATCATCTCATAAGTTTGTCATTGACACTTCGTTATCAATTCAATTTATTGGTTTATTTGATGTAGCTTTATGTGTATCTGCATCTATATTTACAAATATCTAAGGTAGATTATAAAAAATTATATTCAGCACCTCATTTCCACGCATAAACGTTTGCTCATTCATTCATTTTTCACCTATCTTTTCTAAGTACACATCGTCGTTTTATTTGCAAGTAATCTTAGTTGACAACGTGTCCTTGTGTCTGTATTGATTTGACTTACTATTTACTTGCTCCTTTTGTAAATTTTCATTTTTGTTTCTGATATGTGGACGAGAATGATTATGATTGGTTGTCTTGATGAATCAGACATTAGATAGGATGACAGGTGTTGTGTTATATATTCCCCTATCCTTATTATGTATTGATTGTTCCTTATTGATTGACTGTTCTTTGTGTCGGATTTTGGTGTGGAGATATATTGACGTTACAGTCAGGCTAATCTCGTGTTCTTGATCTGAGTTGTGTTGAAGTCTTGAAGAATAGACACTGGTTGGGAATCTAGTGTAGATATTCGTCTAAGGTAAATTAACATCCCACATACGTGTAGAAAGTTAAAGGACTGTTATAACCAGAAACCCCTAAAGTTATAATCAGCATCCTACGTTTATAACAATTGGCGACGGCATCCTTACGTTTATAACAGTTTCCTATAAAGTAAAAATTATTCCCGAAATGTTTTTCTCAACATTCCCCTCCTTAATTACCAAGAGTTTTGCATTACTAAATCTAGCCAACTTTTGTTACCTTGCCCATACTATTTGGTTGAAAAAAATAATTAAATGTAATTATCTGTGAGAATTGAATGGAACCAGATTTGGAATAGCGTTGTCTTCCCTAATTTTACTTCATATTGCCAAGTGTTTTCCTTATTTTATTTCTCTACCTTCAAGACACGCATGAACTTGGAGTATACGAACAACAGATCCGTTTTCTGGTTTTTGATAAATCTAGAGTCTATTAAGTACTTCAAATTCCTAGGATGCTTCAGGACCGGTTAGTCTTCGCCTTCAATTATTCACTAAGGAGCCAGGTAATCGATTGTTTCATTTATCTTGTGAGTTTTGCGCTCAATAGATCGGTGTCTGACAAAATCTTGAAGTGAATACTAGAAATATGCTTTGCTCCTAGCAATCACGTCAGGCGTGATGTACGTCTGTCTACTAAGCTACGAATCTGCTGTTATACTGACTTTCAAAAGTAGAGAGCGTATGTAAACCGTAAATATTTGCAATAAAGATTACTCCGAAAATGAGTATGGAAAAAGTGACGAGAGTAAGCGTGTGTATGTCGCAAATTTTTAACGGTAGTTCGTCCCAAATGACAAAATTTATGTTGAGAAGGGTTTTCACGGTGCTTCGTCTAATCTCATCTTGTATGCTGTTCTAGGTTGTAGTTGAGTATTTCTATATTCAATCCATCATTGGATCTTAGCAATGTAACAAATAGTGTACTAGATTGAAATTGGTGTGTCTTTTCTAGAGAGAGGTTAAGCCTAATGTATCACACAGTTTAAATTAATTTAAACTACAATCCGCTTCCAATTTTTGTTGTATTCCATTGATTTCGAGTTCGTCACGTGTGTGACTTCTATGTAGGAGCGAGAATTATTTTACCATTGAGAGGATACAGGCTACGTGCTTTCGAATCGACTTACGTATCTTCAGAATATGCTGAATTGTTAGTCCCCAAATGCCCTGGTACGGCCGAGAGTGGGGAGAGTCCGCTCTCCCTCTCGAAATGCTCTTCCATGGCCAGCGAATATATAGCCTCTGACAGGGAAGTCCTACTCACTGCCTTCTCGTGCCATCACTGTTGTTTACGAAAGTGAGAGAGATCTTTCGGTCAAAGGCTCCGCGTGTGGGCCCCCCACCTGAGCAGTGTCACAGCCCTCAAACAAATCGAATGAGATTGGTATGGCGCATATGCATCTGGTGCTTCCTTACACCAATATTCATGTGTTTAAATAAATAAATGCTCAGTTATTAGAGATTCTTTAGTCAAGATCTAAGGTTGATTGTTCTCATTTTGGGGGACCAGGTGAGAGCGTGAATCTGATTTATGCGTAGTATTCGGTAAATGTTGTGAACTTGTTTGCTTATTTCTGACTACTGCCAGATGATACGCTACAGTAACTGATATAGTTGTTGGTTATAATCATTTAAACTAAGCAGGATTATGTACCTTCCACCTACCAATAATACCTGAAACTATCTAAAATCTTTTAGATTTTTTCCTTAAACATAAGACATTCTATATAAGTTCTTATTTCTTGAGACTTAAACACATTTAAGAATTTCATGTAATAGATAATCATGGATCCAAGCTTTCAGATAATCTCTTGACTTGTAATCATTGATTAATAATATCAATTTTCATAGTTGAAAGCATCAGTCAATTGAAGCTAGACCACTAAGGAATACCTGGAAGCACTGGACGACCGTTTCTTCATTTTATTTCATGAACTGTTAATTATTTTAATCTACTGAAAGGTAATCTGTTCATATACATTAGTCATGTTTTATTATATCATAAATTTGTTTTTAATAATATTGTCAAAATAAAAAGTATTTTCACAGTTGAAATCATGAGTCAATTGAAGCTAGACCACCATGGAAAACCTGGAAGCACTGGACGGCCGTTTCGCCCTACTATGGGACTCCTCAGCAGTGCGCATACACGACCCCACACTCGCGAGATTCGAACCCAGGACCTACCAGTCTCGAGCCGGAGCCCTTAACCGATAGACCACTGAGCCGGCATCCAACGGTGTTTTCGATGGTGGTCTAGCTTCAATTCACTCATGATTTCAACTGTGAAAATACTAAATTCTCCACAAAACCCCCTCTGAAAAATAAAAAGTAACAAAATTAGTTGCGGAAAATAAAAAAAATTAAACTTCAATAATTCCCGAATTACTTCTTATTTTTACTCTGTGTACTTTGGCTCTTATAATCTTACCATTATTCAATAATTAACTAATTTTGATCATCTGATACTGGTAATATTCTATACTGAATTCAATAAATTTAGTTTAGTACTTTTCTTATATGATAATCATAACTTTTAATGAAATTATAATAATTAATAGGTTGGAAACAATGTCGAAATTGTAATTCCGCTTAGTGATTTTTTTATTTATAAAAAACTAAAAAAAATCATTATAATATTTAATTACTAATAATTTTTATTTATTTAAAGAAGAAGCCTAACTTAAGTGATGTGATATGACCTTAAAAATAATAATAAAATCAATAAAATTCAATTATTATCCAGAACTATTTGAAGTTATTCACCAGTTTTTTGAGTGTTCACTAAGTGTTTGGTGTCCAGAATTTTTGAGTTTTTTTTCGGTTCATTTCGTGGATAAGTACTGCATATAAGAGTGTAATTTTCATTGGAGATTTCAAATTATCCACCTTTATCTGCTTTGAGCATATCAGGGTAGCTCATCCCAGCATGTAAAACATAAATAATGATAGTTAGGACTTGAACTGAAAACCTACCAAATGAACAGAAAAATGCTAAATACCTCTCAGTTGTTGAACACTGGAAAACGGACTGATAACTCCCGTTCATGTACTTAACTGCTATTTTTATTAGTGTACAATAATTCATTTTGTTGATTAAAAGTAGGTAGGCTTTCAAAATACTTTTACTGTGTAGATTTTGTTTTGCTTCTATATAAGTTTTCAGTGTGTTTTTTTAAAATCCGAAACTGATCCAAGTTAGAAAACCATTAGAAACACTGGACAAATGCTTCATCCTAGTGTGAGACTCCTCAGCAGTACACATTCGCGACCAGCAGTCGAACTCATGACCTCTCTTCTCACATGTGTGCAGTTAACATTTAATCTAACGATGTACAAGTTCGGCATCAAACATCAGTTCCTTCAAGGTTGCGAACATACCTTGCTGACAGGCTCCAAATAGCTCGAAACCTAGATCCACAATATTCTGTCGACTAACTACAATCACCACCTTATATCTCAACATGGTACACGCAACGTCGACTCACTTAGACTAGTGTTCACATTTCAACTTGATCGATAGAATCCAATCATTTCTATACATTCCAGTCCTATAAACGTTTTCAGTCGCGGCCCGAATAGCTCAGTGGCAAGGACTCAGACTGTTAAGCTTAGTGATACTGGGTCACATCTGTAAGGCGGCATCAGTTCACTCAAGATTACAGGTACACTGTACTGATGCGTGTCAAGTAGCACAGAATCTAGACCAACCAGAGTCATCTGATTACTGTCATCAACAAGAAAGATATTTGTTTCGAATAAAGATACAATCTAATGGTGATTCTTATGTTAGAATGCAACATAAAGTTTAAGTGTCTTTATTTATCGACTTCTTATATAGAAAGTTATCAGTGATAAAATATGCAAATATGACATTTTTCTCTATCATGTCAATTACTTATGAAAAATACTAAACAGATATGTACAGAAAATATATTAAGGCAAACATTTATGCCCTCGGATTAGTTTTAATTATTGAACTTTGATTTCAGTTGATATATAAACTGCCCCATAGGTATCCTTTAAATGTGTTTCATATTTCAACTGGAATTCTTGAGTTTATCTTGAAACAATTTACCAGAGCATAGGAGAATTTAACTTCATGGAATCTCGTATAAAATTCTCTGTGAACCCCCAACTACAGTTGTTATTTTTGTAGTTTTGTCATATTCAGTACGTTTCATTCGGAATAAAACCTATGGATTAAATGGATAATTACATCCCAAATAAGAGGTATAATTATACCTTTTATTGAAATTTGGGTCTGTCAATAATATGACTTTGTTTTGTAGGTATTATTATTATTTTCATCCTCTAGCACAAATGCTACTTTGACATTCAATCAACCTACTACATTATAATCTGACACAATTGTTTGTATTAGTCCTATTTTCTCATTCTATTCCGGTTTATTTATTCGTTTATTGATTATAGTTTACGTTTTTAAAGTTTAATTATTGCTGGTAAGTCAATCCATTAAGTTTTCGTTGGTTGTTTTTCACAATACTTTCTACTGCTATGTGAATTTAAGAGAGCATAGACCGATGACTTATTTTTGCTCTGTTCAGCTTAGTTTTTCTGTTTCGAATACACTAAAGATGATATTTTATACAACTCCAAATGATAATTTGTATCCAGTAAATGTTATTGCAATGAATATTAAGCAAAGATAGGTGATGGCTAGCAGTAGAATTTAGGGCCCGCCTTTCTTCCTATTTGTGATTCGTCTGGTGAATGCACCTGCATCTTAGAGCTGATGTTCTTTTCAAATAACCAATATATGTGAATTAAAGTTAAAATCCACCCCAGATGTTATGTGGACTTGGTAGCTAAGTGGATGGCGTGGTAGGAGAAAGTCACTGGGTTCGAGTCTCAGCGTGGACATCAACACAGATTCATGTACGTCCTTATGAACAGTCCTAAATAGGACGCTCTTCCTGGGTTCTTTTATATCTTGTGGCTTATGTGCCCTGTTAATGTGTAAATTGATAATACCGCCAATTACAGAACAGTGAATTGTCGATCGAATCAATGATACACAAAACCCGTGCGAGCAGTCTAGAGTACTTATCAGTCTTGCTTTCTGCCTAGCCCATCCAGTTAAGTCCAGAACACCAATATCAGCCTCTGCAATATGAATTATTTACTTCAAATATACTGGGTTTATATACCAACCAGACAGACCACATCGTACAATAAAATGGGAAACAACATTTTACAATATTTAGCCAAATGTGGCTGTGAATAAGGGAGATAGTAATTGATAGACAGGGCATAACTCAAGAACGGTAAATCATATAATAATAGTACATAAGTCAAAGTATAGCTCATAATAAGAGGGACATGAATATACATAGTTCAGTTGTTTAACAGTTATACGATAAATATATATACGTAGTATTGGTCCATAAATAGTTCTCAAAAGATATCACTCATAATTCTCTCCAGGATATAACTGATTCTACTGCTAACTACCATCTGTTTCTGCTTAGAATGCTTGTGAATTACTGGAAATATCATCGTAGTCCCTATATGCCTAAATAGACTTATCGATTGCAGTCCTAAACATCAATTAAAGATTCAGGTTTCACTGTGAGCATCAAAATGCACGTACTCCCAGCTGAGGAGTCCCAAATGGGACGAAGCATTCAGTTTGAATTCCCCTACTAGTCACTAATCAGTTTTGAAAAAAATTTCAATCAGATTCTATTTGAAAATCAAAGAAGACCTTTTAGGCTTCTATACAATGGTCTTTTTACATTTTCCTGTCTACAGCTTCATCTTGGTTATTTCATTCTTCATGTTGAGTATTTGAGTTTATCAGTACTATGAACACCATTCTTTCTGATCTTTGATATATATATATATATATATAGTTTTTCTCGCGAATAACTTCAGTTAGAGAAACCTAATAAACCATTAAACAGTTAGAAGTTATTTGATCTTCAGGACAGCTTAGTAACGCATACACAAGACCTTACATATGATTGAACTCAAAATATGGTAGTTGTTTTTTAAAATAAATTTGATTGTTGTCATATCAGTTTAGTGTTAATTAATCAGTGATAATTTTTATATTTTCCAAATCAACATAATGATGTTTCAATCTTTTCTCAAAACACGCATCAACACTTCACAAATCAAGATTAATCAATAAAATAGCAACGTTATCAAAGAT